ACTGGGACCAAGTCTGATAAGCTCATAGTCCCAAGTGCTCTCTCTGCTGGCTACAGGAGAGCCAGAAAAGGATAGGAGAGTGGTGGTGACCCACAGGGGACCTTCCCGATGGGGTGCTTTCTGAGGGAAGGTCTCAGGCTGCCTGTTTCTGGTAGGACCAGATCCTACAGCTTTTGGGGTAAGACCAGATTCCAGCCAGTGCCAGTAGTGGACCAGATCATGAAGGTGGAGATGATCCCATGAGTTCTAGTTAGTAAGGGTGGTGGCCTAAGGACTGAGCACCTAGGGCACACATTTACAGACGCTACCTCTCCCTCACCCTTGACCAGAACTGCAGTTTAGTAGATAGAGCATCTGCTGCTGCCACTGATTCTCCCACCTCTACACCCCGGATGGAGCTGGTGTAGCTGCTATGGACCAATTAGCCCCGTTTGGCCCACACCCTCCAGCCACCACAAGCCAGCCTGGGCCAAGGCGGAGGAGGGTAAGCAAAGCCTCAGGACCGGCACGAGTGGTTTCCTTAGAGGCTTGATTGACCCTTAGGCATCCCTGCCTCTTGGAGAAAACTAACTCTCCCAGGCTGGCACAGCTCACTACAGCTCTGTCTTCTGTGGAAGTCTCCCTAAGTCATTAGGGTCAGGGCTCACCCCTCCACCCACGTACACAGGCCATCTCCTCCCCTGGCATACTCCAGATCTGATCCAGCCTGGGGCCAGGCCAGCCGTCCCCTCCCTAATCTAGGCCTATGTTCCTCTTACAGGAACCCAACTCAGAGGGAGGCAGGCTTCCCTGCCTTTTCTTCTGAGACATAAGGGGGATCATCGCCCTGCTAGACAGGCAGCTGGCTCTAGCTCCAGCTAGCCCTCCTCAGCTCCTAGACCACCCAAAACTCCAACACCATCCCTGAACTGGAGATATAGCTCAGTGACAGGCACTTCCAAACACGCACACACTAAGGAGAAGGGACCGGAGATCTAACTCGGCTGGCAGAGTATTCAGCCAGCACTCAGGAGACCTGTGTTGGATCCCCAACACCACAGGAAACTGTGGTGATGGCACACATTTGCAATCCCAGTACTCATGAGATAGACAAAGGGAGATGGAGAAATTCAAAGTCATCCTTGGCGACATCTCAAGCTCAAGGCCAACCTGAGCTATAGGAGACGCTGTCTTTAAAAAAAAAAAAGGCTGGCGAATGCCATTCTAATGTCAGAGGACAGAGGTGGCAGGTGGCCTGCTTGGCTTCAGGCCATGAACACCGATGTCCTGCTGGTTCTAATCTTGGCCCCTTCTGGCAAGAAGGGGGCCTCTCTAAATTGAGATCTCTTTACAGGTATCTTTGGAAGATACTAATATCTAGAATTTTTTTTACAGATGTTTAAAGACTTATTTTTTATTTTATGTGCATAAGTGGTTTACCTGCATGTATGTATGTATGTATGTGCATCACATGTATGCCTGGTGCTCACAGAGACCAGAAGAGGGTGTTGGATCCCTGGAATTGTGGTTACAGACAGTTGGAACTGCCACGTGGCAGCTGGGCACTGATCTCAGGGTCTCTGGAAGAACAGCCATCTCTGCAGCCCCATCTATGTAGCCCTTTTTCCCCTTTCTCTCCCTGAGCTTCCTGTTTGCATGGAGCTTTCACATACAGATCCACCTGCTGCTGCTAACCCTGCCCCACCAGAGAAGAGCAGGACACAAACACTGTCTCCATCAGAAAAAGGAGGAAAGACAGGTTAACAGGCCAAGACAAGGGCCTGGGACCTGAATCCCCCTCTAATGTGCCTTCCAGGCCACTGAAGTGCCACTCCAGTGAGATTTTATAGGAACAGAGACTCTCCATACCCTCTAATGGACGCACTAACTGTCCAGTCTCTCCACCTCCCACATCCTCACGGCACTGACGACATTCCCAGGGACAGAGGGGCTCGTTTATTCCCAAGGATGTTTGAACCGGGGCTTTCATCTTGATTCCAAAGTGGGCATCTAAAGAGTTGCCAATGAATGGGTGTGCTGTGGTACCTTTAATCCCAGCACCTGGGAGACAGAGGCAGATGGATCACTCTGAGTTGAAAGCCAGCCAGGGCTACATAGTGACCTGGTCTCAAAAAAAAAAATAAAAAATAAAAACAGAACAGAGCTGCCAGGGCTAAATGAAGGCTGCAGGACTGAGGCCATAAGGAACTCGCAAAGGTGAGGAAGGAAGAGAGGCAGCGCTGGAAGCCACGTGCTGTGTCTCTCCACCTGGAAGCCTCCTACCTCCTCACATCCTCCCCTGCCCTCTCCCATCAACCCTGCCACATCCTCTTGGTATCACTTCCTGCTAAAATCTCCATGAACCTCGCCTCTGTTATCAAAGGAAGGTCCACTCCCCCAGTCAGGCCCACAGGGCTCTTTACCACCCCACCTCTGCCAGCCTTCCAGGTCTCCGTGCTCACCACGTTCTACAACATCCCCAACATTCTAACCACACCAAATGCCTGCACCTTGGAATGGAGCAGTGTGGAGGCCTGCTCAGTGGCAGGTCGGAGGTTGCATTGGACACACACTCCTGCACATGCATGCTCAGGTGTATGCACACCTTTATGTAGAAGCCCACCATTCACATGCATGGGATTTCCTACCAAACCCCTCGTCACACTGCCCTTCCATCCACAAAGAGACCAAGAAATCTGCTTTGCAGATCCCTGAAGAGGCTAAGTGTGGTCACATGACCATCCCCAAACCCCTGAGAGGCAACAAGGAAAGAAAAAGGTACATCCCCTAACTCCGCTGAGCCTTGGGTTGGCCCTAGGGTATCTGAGCCACAAAGGGCAGCAGAGAAGACTCAAGGGTCCAAACCAGGTTCTCAATCTGGGTCTGTGACTAACTTCCTCTATCTCCCAGACAGACCACCTTCTCTAATTCTCCAGCTATAGGACACATGGGTTTAGAGAAGCTGATCCCAAAAGGCTCTCCAGACCCACAGCTCATGCCAACTGCAGACAATGAAGAGTTTTTAGTGTAAAGAAGAGCTGGGCACCCTCATGGAAAAATCCTCCAGCCATGGAAAGTATCAGCACATGAAGACGAAATGGAAATTTGGGCAGCAAAAAAACTGAGTCAGGAGAGCTGGCAGCCAAAAACCAAAGAAGGGGAGTGCCTTCACTAATCCATAATTGATAAGACTTGTGTGTATTTAGCCATTCATTCATTTATTTTACTTCTCAGTGCTGGGAACTGAACCAGGACTTCACACATGCTAGAACAGCAAGTACCATTGACTATATTCCCAGCCTTCTTTTTAAAGCTCTTTGAAATGGGAATCACACTTAACTGCCTAGGCTGGCCTTGAATTCTCTCTGAAGCTCAGGCTAGCCATGAATTCTCAGTCCTCCTGCCTCTCAAGTACCCTGGGATATGTAGGCCTGTGCCCCCAGGCCCAGCCACATAATTGACATTTATAGAGGGAAAAAAAAAGTCCTATCGAGCACTAATTGTGAGGAATCTGCATATTTTTATCATCTAGACTGACCAAATACATAGGCGAGCAAGTACAATGAGTTAGGTCCACCAACTGTTTGCTCTAAGGGGTCCAATTCAGACCCTGGCCCCCAGACTCTGAAAACATAGGTACAGGAAAGGGACCAAGGTAAACAAGGGGAACTCCAGCAAGACTCTGCCCATGTGTAAAGCCCTCGGCAGGCGATGGCGGCAGCCATACCCACAAGCAACCCCACCCTGAAAAGCACCTGCGGGGGCACCACAGAGGCGTTCTGACACCAGTGTTCCCGCTCACGTGCTCACCACACAAAGACACTGAGGGTGTGGCTGACAGGTCCTGGGTCCCCAGACCTCTTCTCTCGAAGCTCTTGCCTGCAGCTTGGTGTCCAACAGGAATACATTCCCAAGGTCAAGGCCACAGAGGCAGGACACCTCTAGTAGAGGCCAGAACACCAGTGTAGAGACAAAATCCCCTGAGACTTTGACCCTCTCCACCAGGAAAGACAATGGTACACACCACTCCACTCTCCGAAACCTCTCTGGTCCTCAGAATCAGCTTGCCTTGTGTATCTCCCTCCTGGTCCCTGGAACATGCAGGATCTAGGTCTCCAGGTCATGGCCCAACTGCTAGCCGGACTGTCCAGAGCCCACGGAGAAGGGCAGCTCTACCCAGGACACATCAGTTCTGCACACCTAGAGCCCCGCACACCCTCACAGTGGAAGAAGGGCCCATAGGAGCAGCCCCAGGCCTCACTGTTCTCTATGGCTTTTTATTCCTATGTGATTCTGTTGCTCACTCATATAGGGATTGGAGCCGTGGCGCACGGTGGGGACAGCCAACGGAGGGCTCTGACACTGAGCGAGAAGGCTCACGGGGAGCCAGGCCAGTGGCTGCAGGCCAACCCAAGGGACTCACCTCTGACAGCTGTAGCAGGAGGGGGTGAGAGACGGCTGAGCTCTTTCCCTGCTCTGACCTACCATTCTAGTCCTGGAGACAGGTACTGAATGCTGGCACCAGGTCCCCAACTGTGTACCCAGAACACGTGGGACATGGCGTGTACGGAGCATGGCATGTTTAGCCTGGGAAAATGGGACTGGCAAGAGAGAACAAGCCTAGTGCCCTGCAGCCTGAGGAAAGCCCTTGATAAAGAGCGGGTAAGATAAAGGAGGGAAGCGAAGAGTAGTCCAGATGCCGAAGGGCTATCCTGGTGTCAAGCAGGAAATTTCCACCCAGCCAGGCTACAGCAGGAGAGGGGGAACCATGGCCAGGTTGCCACAGGGAGTCATGGTTGAATAGGTAATGATCCTTAAACCTGTCCTGCTCACCCACATCGAGGCTGCTGGGAGCCGTATTCAACCCTCCCAGATTCCCTCAACAGACCCTTGGTATGCCCAGCAGAGAAGCGGGTGAGAAACTCTTTGAGATGCCGGCAAAATCGCTAGGAGCGCACCATGCTCCCCTCCCCAGCAGCTACCCGAAGCCCTGCGCTAAAGAAATACTGAGGACAGTGAGCTGAGACCCCCACAACAGCCTTCTTTTTATTTTCAGGCTCCCTGACTTCACTCCACGGAAGAACCAGGCTGAGGACTTGGGCAGATGGGCTCCTGGGGAGAAAATAAAGACTGGGAACTGGCCGAGGAGCTTCCTCAGGGCTACCTGCTGACATGACAGGAAGTAGGGGTGGAAAGGAGGCCTCGTCTTCTAGTCGGGGAATGGAGATGGAGCCGATCTGTGGGAGGTGGGTGGAGCAACAGGGAGCCAGGCTAAGGGGACAGGGATCCTAAAGCACAGTGAGGCCCTGGCGAAAGCCCGTGCCCTTCCCACGAGATCCTGCCTATAATTACCCGTATACTCTCAAAATAAGAGCTAGGCCGTCACTGAGGACGAAAAATCAGGAGGTGAACATCCATGACATTGGTCCCTGTCAACCCTGTCTGCAGCAAGTGTGTTCCACCCCGGAAGCGGCAAAAGAAGGTGTACGAGTCGTTGTGGGAAAGGAAGGTGGCTATGTCCAGGCCTTCAGCAGAAGCCTGGCTGACAAGGTCAGACATGACCCAGGCCCCAGCCACCTTGGTAGGCCCATCCTGCCCATCGGTGCCTCCACTCAAAAAGAGCACATCCACGGGCCCCAGTGGCTGTCTTCCCAGCTCTGTTCCCACATGCAGGGCCAGCTCTTGGTTCCGGCCACCCTTGCCAGAACCCTGCAGCTGCACCGTGGGCTCACCACCAGCCAGGAGGCAGACGGGGCCGTTAGCCTTTGCCACCGCTTCCAGAGCCTCCCCCAGCTGCAGGTCTGGGAGCCGGAGCTCAGCTGCCAGCTGATGGAGTTTCGCCTCCTCCTCCTCCTCCTCCTCCTCCTCCGAGGAACGCCCAGCCGTGGATGGAGCGAGGCGGGCTGCAGCCACCCGGGCTAGCAATCCATAGAACCGGGCCACATTTCTTACATCGCCCTGAATGGCGGTGCTCAGCACCAGGGCCCGGTAGCCCAGGGCCTCGGCCTGCCTCTGAGCCTCAGCCAGAGCCAGAGAATTGGAGCCGATGATCACATTGAGGACATGACCACAAGTGTGTGGGCCGCGGGGGTCAGAGTCAGCTCTAGAGAGCACGGTCTTCACGGACCGCGGCAGAGCTGCCCGAAGGCCGTAGTGATTGAGAATATGCAGGCAGTCTTGCACGCTGTGGGAACTGGCCACGGTAGGGCCGCTGGCGATCACCTCCAAAGGGTCCCCAATCACATCTGACAAGACGAGGCTCACCACCTAGACAAAGGCCATAAGATAAGGCTCAGTCTTGACTCCTCCGAGCCCCGGGGCCGGGCCCTCAAGGACAAACCGGTCCTGGGTGTACACCCCACGGTGCGCTTCTTTTGCCCGCATCTACCTGCTTCTTGCCACTTGCAGGTGGGCTGGCAGAACACGGACCGGGGAGCATCCCCCTCGCCCTCTTTGGCCTCCTCCCAGGACTTCCCCGACGGGCGAGGCCCCTGCCAACGTGTATGTTGGCCTAAGCTTTCCTATCCCTGTCACGTGTGGGGGACCCAGGGCCGGCTGCGGAAGTGGTGGATGCACCTGAGCGGGATAGGCAGCCTGAGCTAGGCCTCCACCCTTCAGCTGGGACAGGGCCTTCCGGATGGTGTTCAGCTCCTGAATTGTGGCTCCGCGGGCTGCCAGCAGCTTGGTGAGCGTCTGTTTCTCCTCCAGAGTGACAGGGGGGATGGGAGCAGGCAGCAGGGCTGAGCCCCCACCTGCAGAGCCAGTGAGGGTGTCAGGAAGAAGAGAAGGGAGCCGGCTGGACCACGGGGTAGGGGGACGTGGGCTAAGACGGTGGAGCTGGGGTGCCCCCCTGTGGACATGGAGTGAAGCTGTCCCCTAGCTGGGGTACTCCAGACCCCAGAAGATGCTAGATGTGCTAGGGATGTAGCTCAGTAGTAGAGTGTTTGTCTAGTGCGTGTGAAGCCCTGAACTTGATCCTCAGCACCACAGTTATATTTTTAAAAGCATGGACTAAGGAAGAGCAAGAAAAAAAAAAGGGCAGACAACCAAAGAGAGTTCTGTGGAGCTGGAAACCCAGCTCGTGGAGCCTGGGAGACACTGGTGCCGACAGAAACGTTTTCCAAAGTTTCTGACACGTGTTAGCATGCCAGTGTGCCCTCATGATCACAGCTCGGGACAGATGACTACCCCTGACACCGCCCGCAAGGCACCCTCTAGGCTCCTCACTGTCTGTCTTGGTCCCAAGTTCACCCTGTGACCACGGTGGCTCAGACGGACGTCTTACGGATCTGGTGTTTGGGGCATCCCCCTGTGAGCTGTCCTCAGCTGATCTGGCACCCACACCTGAGATGAGCACAAGCAGCAGGTCGTTGGCTGTGAGCCCCTCTGCCAGCTGCTGGATGGCCAGGGCAGCCCTCAGAGCATCACGATCCGGCAGGTTGTCCTCTGCACCCTCAAACACCTGGATGTGGCTGTGCGGCTTCAGCAGCATCTCTCTGGGGAGGGAGCAAACAGGGACGGGATGGGGAGGGTGAAGGGGGGGCTCCTCTCCTCCCACCTGACATCTCAGCTGTCCATCAGGGAGAGCGACTTGAGTGAGGATGCCCACCCACCAGGCCAGCTAGGGAGGCCTAGGAGGAAGAGAAGTTTTCCTCTACAGGGCACCCCACCACCTCCACCACCAGTAGATTCTTACTGCTTTCCAGCCTGCTCCATAGCAGCTCGGATCCCCTTGGGAACGCTGATCACACCCTGCACAAGGTGCTGGCCCAGTACTTCCTCAGCTGCAGCTGCCATGCCCAACACAGCCTTGCCGAAGCCCACCAGGTAGAGGTTTTCATGCAGCTGAAAGCTCCGGTCCCGCACCTTCAGCTGTCTGCCGCTAGGATCCAAGGACAGTGCCCTTTGCAGCATGGGGCCCGGCTGCACAGCGCCCACCGCACTCGCAAACAGCTGCCGCGCCTGCTCTGCCAAGGCCACGCCACTGGTCATCCGGGCCACTGGGGGCCCCCAGAGGAAGGGGCGCGATGGGGCTCGGAGGAGACAGGGCAAGATCTGTAGGGCTGCGGCCATGCCCACATCTCTCAGCAAAGCCTTGTATCCATAGCTGCCTAGAGAGAGAGGAGGATTGAGTGAGACCACAGACAGAACCCGGCCGTCATGGGCCACCCCTCTGAGAGCTCAGGGCTGGTGGACTCCATAGCCATTGTTGCGAGAACGAGCCACCTGAAATGAAAGCTGAAGGATTCATGAAGCCTGCAGCGAACCTGATCCTACTCCAGTCCTGCAAGCCCAGCCCTGATGCTCAGCCACGTCCCCTTCTTCTGTAGGCCACACACCGGTCTCCTAGACACTCTGCCCCAAGTCCAAAGTTCCTAACAAGTGGACCCTCCTCCTGGGTCACCTCCTCTGGCTGGGAGTTAATCATTCACAAAGGAGGCCGTTCCTCTCAGTGGTCTCCTGCACCACCTTTATCCACATCCTTCACTGCCAAGCCCCCACGCCACGGCGGGGCTCCTTTCCGGCATTTCTGCCTTACCTTTTTACCACTTCTACTGCCAAAAGAAAGAAACAGAAAGGCTGTTGGTTGTCTCGCCAACTGACCCCAAGCTCACTGACCTCTAGCCTGATCTATTTCATTAGCTCCCAAGACTAGTCTGGGAATGCTGAGTCTATGTACAAAGGCTACCGGCTTATCAGTGCACATAACCCGAGGAATCTCAGCACTCAGACCAGTTCAGTGAGAGGTCCGGGCACAAATCAGGAGTAGCTACAAAATCTGACTCAAGGTGAGACCTTGGGCAAGTCCCCAGTTCATATGCAAGAGGATGTGCACTATGGGGCTCAATCTACAACGTAAGAAAAGATGCCCTTCTACCCACACAGCTGGGCAGGGTCAACCTTGCCAGGAACACCCCTTCTGGCTCCATGATAGCAAAACAAGCCCTGAGTTACACCACTCAGAGCAGAAACAGCCCAGTGCTGGAGCAGGCAAAGGCCAGGCTCCTAACTGTGCCCAATCATTTTCCACACTGGGCAGAGTGAAAAACAGAAAGGTCTTGGGGTAAAGGTCAGGACGTTATACAGGGTAAATATGGGGACAACGAAGCCAAAGGACTCATCATACCTTTTGGGTATCTAAATCTGGGGACAGAGGAGTACTGGAGACCAAACCCATGTTTTGCATGTGACAAGTATGCACTCTACCACTGAGATACATTAAAGCCCCCAAATAAGATAGTTACTATAATAAAATGTCTACCATTATGCTGAAAGACAACTACATCAGTAAGTGTGGATACAAGAGGAAGTAGTCTAGGAATTGCGATGCTAGTTTTTTTTAAGTGTGTAGTATATCTTTTCTCAAACTGAGTTTATTTGCAAGATGAGAGGTGGGATGAAATTGAGCTCTGGGAATTCCTTACATGAAAACCGGACATGTTTACAGACGACCCACAGCCGGTGCCCTGTATATTCTTTTTTACAACACAGCTAGCGTTTTTTTTTGTTGTTGTTGTTTTTTTAACTGTGAACTACATGGCCACATGGCACAGGTCTAGAAGTGGCATGTTATTTAGGAGTGGGATAAATTGCTGGGTGGTGGTGGCACACGCCTTTGACCCCAGCACTCTGGAGGCAGAGGCAGGCGGATCTCTTTTAGTTCGAGGCCAGCCTGGGCTACCAAGTGAATTCCAGGAAAGGCGCAAAGCTACACAGAGAAACCCTGTCTCGAAAAACCAAAAAAAAAAAGGAGTGGGATAAATGGTTAACTGGAGGGTTTTTTTTTTTTTAAACCTGTTGCATTGGACAGAGCATCAGAAAACCTGAAGTGTCTGGCAAACAAGTTATCAGCCCTCCACCACTATGGAGGAGTCCATGACTTCATACATGATAGGGATGGTCTCTCCCACAGAACTGCACTTTTCAAGTTCCAGGGCTTGGAGCTAAATGCATCTAAAACATACAATGCTCAGTTGCAGGTGAACTTCTGTCTATCTCACAGAGGAGCAAAGCCTAGAAGATCCCTAACAGAATCCAGGACAAAGGAATGCTCATGGCCAAAGTTGCCAGATAAAATGCAGGACATTTGGTGAAACTTCTATTTCGGATAAGTAATTTTTTAGTATAAATATGATCAGTACATTTGGGATTATTTGTAACTGTAAAAGTTACGTTGTGGTGAGTTTAAATTTAATTGGACGATTTTCATTTTCAGTTGCCAAATCCCCAACTCTATTTAAGACACTACACCTCTCCAGCTCCTGTGCACTCCGGTTGCTAAGTGAGGAAATGCGAAGACCAGCCTTGACTCCTCCCGGAACAAAGTGGAGCTGACATCACATCCGGATTTGGCCAGCAGCCAGGTGACCGGAAGTGACGTCGCCCGAGACTAACGGCCTGTAATCTTCGCGAGAGAAATTATGCCGCACGATACTAGGTGTCGCAGAAAGTAAGGGGCTGCTGTCGCCTGGATTCGCCTCCGTCTGGGCCAGGAATGATTTCCAAGGTCCATGTACGTCCTTGAGACGCAAACTTACCTTTCCGCCGCTTCCAGCAGTGGAGACCGGAAGTGCTCTGTTGGGTGGGGATTAACCCGGAAATGGCCCGTCTGGGGCTTCCCTAGAGACCGGGATCGCGGGTTAGAACGTGCGTGCCTCACTGGCCTCCAGAAAACCTGGAAAGAGGTGTATGGAGTCCTCCGGTTTCTGCATTCCTGCAGTGGATTCTCAGTGATTTGTAATGATCCTTCCCTGTTCATCCTGTTAGATACTGTCAGTCATTAAATACACCCCGAATTCCTGTCAGGTGCCGGACTCCAGGCTGAACCATCAGAGACATTTAGGGTCATCCTTGCTCTTCCGCATAGTTACAATTCTTTGACAATTCACTGATGTTTACCACTCTTCTCCATGAGCCACCATATACAGCTAATTCAGTAAAGTATTTCTGTTCCATGATCTGAACACAAGGGCAAACTGCCTGTAAACAAAAATGACCCTGATCCTTCTCCCTTCCGTTGCTCCTCTTGTGTCCACTATGATCCAAGCGTGATGCCTTCCCGCATTCAAAAATCAACTATTGGCTGGACTCCAAAAACACCAGAGTACACTTTTTTTTTCCTTGAAAAGTTTGGTTTTTGCCCTGCCGCTCACCACACACACAGGGACACACTGTGTAGCCTAGGCTGTCTTCCTTCAAGTTCATGATCCTCTTGCCTCTGCCTCCTGAGTCACCAAAATCGCGGCATGTGCTACTGTGTAATTGAGAAGCTTAATCACCCACCCACCTGCCGTTATAAATTTCCTTGCTTCTTGACACTCACTTAGACTACTCAGCAACATCTCTTTTCCTTTTGCAACTCTTTAAGACATTGCGGTTCCATGTCAGTCTGGGCCACCCAGCGGGAAGAAGAAAGAAGAAAGGAGGAAGGGAGAGGGAAGGAAGGGAGGGAAAGAGGGAAGGGGCTGGGGAGCTGGAGAGATGGCTCAACAGTTAAGAGCACTGACTGCTCTTCCAGAGGACCTGTGTTCAATTCCCAGCACCCACATGGCAGCTCAGAACTGCCTGTAATTCCGGTTCCAAGGGACATGGCACCCTCACACAGACATACATGCAAGCAAAAACACAATGCCCATAAAAATAAATCTTAAAAAGAAGAAAGAAGGAGGGTAAAAGGAAATTCCGGTTTCTGTTTGTACACAGGGCAATAGAAATATAAGAATTAGGGCTGGAGAGTTGGCTCAGTGGTTAAGAGCACTGACTGCTCTTCCAGAGGTCCTGAGTTCAATTCCTAGCAACCACATGGTGGCTCACAACCATCTAATCTGGTGCCCTCTTCTGGCCTGCAGGGACACATGCAGGCAGAACACTGTATACATAATAAATTAATAAATCTTTAAAAAAATATTTTTTAAAAAAAGAATTAAGTCAACTCAATACCATTCAGGAGTTTACAGTCCAGTGGGCTTAATCTTCTTGCTGTTAAAAGCATCTTGTGAATAGTTTGGGAATGGAAAAGGAGTATTAAAAAATGGGTACAGGAAAAATGGGTACAGGGAGCTGGAAAGATGGTTCTGTGGTTAAGAGCACTTGTTGCTCTTGTAAAGGTCTTGGGCTCTGTTCCTAGCACCCAAAGGGTTTACAACTATCCAGAACTCCAGTTCCGAGAAAGCTGATGCCATCTTCTGACCTCCTCAGCCACCAGGCATTCATGTGGTACACATATATACATGAGGCAAAGCATTTATACACATAAAGAAATCCTTTTAATTTTTATTTATTTATATTTTATGTATGAGTGTTCTGCATATATACCTGCACTCCAGCAGAGGGCATCAAATCCTATAGATGGTCATAAGCCACCATGTGGTTGCTGGGAATTGAACTCAGGACTTGTGAAAAAGCAGCCAGTGCTCTTAACCCCTAAGCCATCTCTCCAGCTCAAGAAATCTTTTTTAAGAAAATGAAGACAGGGCTGGTAATGTAGCTCAACTGATAGAGAGCTTGTTTAGCATGCACAAGGTCTTGGGTCTGGTCCCCAGCATCATATAAAACAGTGTTTATGGTACATGCCTAAATCTCAACATTTAGAAATCAGGCTCTCAAAGTCATCCTTGTCTATGTAGTTTAAAGTCAGTCTAGGATACATGAGACCTTGTCTCAAAAAAAAAAAAAGAGAGAGAAAGAAAGAAAGAAAGAAAAAGTGGGGGACTGAAGAGATAGCTCAGCTGTTTAGAGCACTTCATACTCTTCCAAAGGATGGGGTTTGATTCCCAGCACCCACATTGGCAGCTTACAACCATTTGTAACTCTAGTTCCAAGGGATCCAGTGCCTTCTGGCCTCTGAGGGTACCAGGTACACACACAATACACTTACATATATGCAGACCACACACACACACACACACACACACACACACACGCACGCACGCACGCACGCACGCACGCACAAATTAGAAAATAATTAAAACAATAAATGAATAGTATCTGAGGAGTAACACCCAAGGTTGTCTTTTGTCCTCACACATATGTACACATACATACAAAATAAGCTATCTGCAGGTCTGATGTCTGGTCATGGCTTTATTTCTGTTTCCAAAATGGCAGTTTATCACTGTATCCTCGGGAGGAGATAAAATAGGGCTTCACATGGTAGAGAGTTGAAGGGTCTTTTAGAAGAGGCCTTGACCTCATTTACAATAGACTTATTCTCAGGATCTAACCATCTCCCAGAATCCCCACTTTTTGGTGGTTGGTTTTTTTTTTTGTGGGGGGGTGTTTTGTTTTGAGAAAGGACCTCACTTTGTAGTTCTGGTTGTCCTAGAACTCACTATGTAGAACAGACTCATAGAGCTCTGCCTGCCTCTGTCTCTGGAATGCCGGGATTAAAGGTTTGCACCACCACACCTTAACATTATTTCATTGAAGATTGAATTGCAACAAGAATTGTAGAGATACAAATATCCCAACAATAGCAGCACTCAGTAGACTGGAGTCACACCTAATGGAAGATTCTGCAGACTAATCTACTGACTGGAATCCTATGATTCTGGAGGATTGGAATGTTGAACATCTAAAGCTGAAATTATCTTGGGCAGATTTTCGTTCCCTCGAGTTTTTGTGTTGCTTAGGTCTGGTGTTACTTTATTTGTATGTGGTGTGTGTGTACCTCTGTGGGGGTCTATGCACGAGTGCAGGTGTCCAAGGAAGCTAAAGTCCCCTAAAACTGAAGTCACAGTCAATTGTGAGCTGCCTCACCTGGGAGATTGGAATTGAACAAAGGGGCCTCTGAAAGAGCCATACACACCCTTAACCACTGACCCATCTCTCCAGCCCTTCGTTTAGTGTTTTTTGCTTTGTTTTGTTTTGTTTTGTTTTGTTTTGTTTTGTTTTGTTTTGTTTGAGACAGGGTTTCACACTATACCCCAGGTGTGGAACTCTGTGTACCCCAGGTTGACCTGGAATTCATGGCAATCCTTCTGCCTCAGCCTCTTATGTGAGCTACCATGCCAAGTTTTTTAGTTCCCTTAGTAGACATGTATCACCTACCTCTCTATCTGACCTAACATCACGTTAACAATCAAGTAAGTCTCTTGAGTGCAATAACATACTAGCAGGCCCACTGGCTTCACCCAACCCAAGAGCTACGAATGCTGTTCGATAGCATCTGAGACCCACAGCAGAGCTGTCCCGTTTGGGTAAATGCAATGATGTATACTCCCTTCTGCAACTATAAAATCATTACATAACTGCTTCCATGGTGGAAAGGACCATGCAGAACAACTTGAATCCATATTCCCTGGTCACGCTCAAAACAAACTTAGTCCCTCTGGAGCAAGCACTGTGTTTTGCAGCAATGACTGACTCATCAGAGAACCTTTGTAAGAGATCCACCTTAAAATTCACAGTGAAAATACAGTGGGGCAGCGATAGTGCACACCTTTAATCCCAGCACTCAGGAGGCAGAGGCAGGCAGATCTCTGTGAATTCCAGGCCAGCCTAGTCTACAGAGCGAGATCCAGGACAGCCAGGGCTACACAGAGAAACCCTGTCTCGAAAAAGAAAAAGAAAAAGAAATAGAAGTGATTTTTGAAATTGTATTTATTTAGATGGTGTGTGTTCGTGACATACAGATGCAGCACATACAGTGTGGACAAGGAGGCCAGAGGACAACTTAGTGGAGGCCATCTCTCTCCATCCACATTCACAAGGGCTCCAGGAGTCAGACTCCAGTTACCGGGGCTGTGCAGCAAGCACTTTTACCAACTAAGGCAACTCACCAGCCAAAAACGGATTCCATTTGTGAGAACTCAAACTGTCATCAGCTCCACATTGAGAGCAGCTGTCCCTCCTGAAGTCGCCTCAGATGTCTGTTTTGTCCTTCACGTGTCCTTGATAGCCTGGACCTTGAACCCCATAGTTCCTTGTCTGCTCATCCCTTCTTCCTAACCATCTAGCCCCTAATACCTCACAGGGTCGGTCTGCACCAGTGGGTGGCCACTCGCACAGAGCTTGGGGGTTAAAAACTGCAAGAACTTGCTTGGTGGGATGTCCCAGGTCAGCCCTGTGTGAGGTTCTGCTGTGACCAAGAGAGCCAATAGCTCTAGAAAGTGATGGAACAAGGAAAGGGTTTTGTTGTTGTGTGAATTTTTTAAACAAGGTCTGTTAGGGGTGGGGGTGGGGGGGGTCCATGTGCGTACAGGTGCCCATGGAGGCCAGAAGAGGACATCAGATCCCCTGGCACTAGGGAACAGATGCAGGAGGATCACACAGAGTTTGAGGCTAGCTAGTTCTACATAGCGAGTTCCAGGCCAGTCAGAGTTAATACTAAGTGAGATTTTATCTCAAAACAAACAAAATAACAAATGCATTTTTTTTTCCAGAGCTGAGGACCGAACCCAGGGTCTTGCGCTTGCTAGGCAAGCGCTCTACCACTGAGCTAAATCCCCAACCTCTTAATAAATGCATTTTTAATTTAAAAAAAAAAAAAAAGGAAGACAGAAAAGACCTAAGCCTCCTAGTCACAGCCCAGCGCAGGTGTTGGACTCCTAGTTTCCAACATGTTAAGTTGTTGCAAATTAAACCTTTTATTGGGCTGGCAATTTTGTTTGTAGTAGAGCACTTGCTTAGCATCTGTGATGCCCAGGGTTCATTGCCCAGCACCACATAGACTGGGCATGGTGGTGCATGTCTCTAATCCTAGCACTCAGGAAGTGGAGGCAGGATTAGAAGTTCATGGTCATCCTCACTAAATAGCAAGTTAGAAGTCACATGAAACTCTTTTCTTAAAAAAAAAAATTAAAAAGGAAAAAAAACATGATTGATCAAAAGC